TAAACACATTCACAAGACTCAATAAGACAAAACATTCTACTCTACAAATGGGCCATGCTCTGTAGTGTGTTCCACATGCACCACGACATGTGGCATAGAGCAATGAGGTCTGTTTCTGTCTATGTTATGCACCACAGTGGGCACATCATGCGCCGCGAAGCATATGACAGTAATTTTTGCTGTCATATGATAGCTCGGAAGATAAACTTCTGTCAAGCGCCATTTTCACATCCGACGTCCAATTGGAATAATTCAAGTCCCCATATGAAACTTACAACATATACTAGCTAATGGAATAAGTTTGGACTTGATCTGATGATCCGATCTAAAATTAGATACTTGAGTGCAAAAAGCCATTTTTCTTTCAAAAACTTGCACTCTAAGTGCTCAATTTCATTCCTCGTCTCATTAGATCACTTCGGACCTTAAACCAAGTCCAAAAAGACCACATACACTTGATTGACACCTCATACCACAAATATCACATCAATTGCCCATTTCGGCCTCTCAATGCCACATTATACAATTATAGACTTATATAAGGAATACACATACAAAACACATTCATATATATATAACTAGACTTATTCCACTTCCAACCCTCCAATTCTTATATATGGGTCTCCGCCTCACCATATGGTCAGGAATCACAACATATTTGAATTTCCAAATGGAGCTCCACCTCACCATTTATGTCAAATTCTCATATAATAATACAATTCACAATCAATACATAATCATCACATCAATTCAAATTCAACACACATACACAAGTGCAACAAGTTGCACAACATCATGTACTTGTTTGTTTAGCATCTAGGCCTACCCACATACCCTCTCATTAGGGCACCCTTGGTGAGATGTAATATCATATACATATACAAGCAAGATTCACAACACAATTCATATATACATTTACTTATGCATCTTAGTTGGCAACTCAAATTCTATAAACAACTTTATGCATTCAATCATACATATGATAATCATACCACTATCAAATGAAGCTACTCTTTCCTCGCTTCCTTTCCCAGCTTTCTCACACTATCTTCATCTATGTTCAAAAGTAACAAAGTGAGACATACGTCCAATATCTCGGAGGTAACCCCAATTACTGGTTAGTAAGCAAAATCATAACGAGCGATAAAGTATCATGTGTATCAATAAAAGCAATATCATATGCATATACAAGAATTCATTCTCATCAATCTCATGATGCCCACGCAATGCATTTCTAGTTCTAGCTAGCAAAGTAATCCCTACACTCGAATCAGGACTTCTAGTCACATGGAACAAGGCCCACCATACCACTACTTAGACTAAGTAATCCTCTTTAAGTATGGGTGGTCTCCTAGGTCCGTCATAGCAAAGTTAAACTTACGCTTTAGATCATCAGGACTTCCTAGCCTTATACAAAGTAGGACTACGACCCCTTACCCTAGTCTAGGGTAACCTCATGGATCATTCAATATCCCAGGTCCGTCATGGAGGAGTTAAGCTCTACATTTTGAATCATCAGGATTCTTCTCCCAAGTCCATCCTGATAAAGTCAAGCTTTAATCTCTGGATTATCAAGACTTCATGGACCTCCTCACGATAGGGCTGCGCCTCCTTACCATGATCCAAGGTATACTCACAGATGCAATGCATGTTAATATACATGTCTTCTCAAGTTCATTTCAATCAATACTCACACACCCGCATGCATATTCTTTTCAAAATGATGCTACTTTATTAGTTCACAATACAATGCACGTAATTATATTAAAATACTTGTAAATAATTTCACAAACAAACAAGTAAGATCTTTACTCTAGTTACCTCTAACCCTTACCACTAAGGGTTACCAAACATACTAAGGTCCTAAGGGTGTAGATTCTCATGAGTAATGCTACAGGTGTTCAATATATACAACACATTGCCCCTCAATCAATTCTCAACCTTTCATATAAATATTGATTCGGCTTAACCGAATTTCTTAACACATAAAATAGTTTAATTGAACCCTTTTTGAATTTACTTAGCTATTATTTATAGTTATTAGCTTTATAGGCTACTCAAACATCTATAACAATCTTCTAACACATTATTCAACCAAAAATTTTCCATTTAACCTAACTTCTTAGTTATTTTGAGCCTAAATCCTCAAAGCTTAACCGTTCAACTCCATACTAGTTGTAAAACCTTAGTTCTGTATTGGATATCCTATTTTAAACCTTTCTTTTATATTAAAACACCTCAGAACTTCATGATTTGATTTCTCAACCGATGAAATTCAACAAAAATGAGGTATAAATGAAGCTTGGGGTTGTGCGTTACTTACCCGATAAGTTACTAATCGAAGCAGACTCAAATCTCTAGATAATACAAGCCCTAGCAAATCCAAAGCTTCTTCACTTCTCACGCATGTTTTCCCTTCCTTCTCTTTCTATTTTCACAATCTGACTTAGCCTTTAAATAAAAATTCTGCACCATGCGCCACAACGTATGCAGCTTTTGCTACAGTGTGTGACACAATGAGAAAACTCTTACTTGTGCTCGTGCATTAAGCCTCAGATTATCATTCTACCCTTCAATCCTATCAATACAACATCTAAACAATATAAGACATTAACTTAACACCCAAACCACAATCAATCCACTAATTACTAATTTATTCCTAATTAGCAACTAGTTTATGGGATTGAAATTCTAGATGTTACAGACCGGATGTTCATCGTTCTCATAATTTAAATGGTTATATTGATATTTGAATTGGTAACATAATAATTAAATGAAAATAATATTTATATGCTTATACCTAAATAAAAACATCAAAAAATATGGACAATATTATTTTCAATTCAAAATTTTTCAGTCATAACGTATTAAGTTTTAATTTTCTCAATTTTTTATATGTAGATTTTTTATTTACTTTATTTGTCTTTTAAAGAAAATAAATTTTTAATTTCCTTTGAAGTTTAATTCATAAAATACCAATAAACAAATTATACACTCAAAATTTTACAATAGTAACCTAAAAAGAAATTTACATTAATATTTTAAAATTGAATCAAAACATTTATTATTACAACAAGAGGAAAAAAGGTTCGAAACAACTTAACCATTCTGATTTTCAAGTTAATTTTGATTTTCAAGTTAACTTTGATTTTGTTAAACCTGCTTGGTTCAAAAAGTCAAAACGATCAAAACATTTCAATCCCTAAAACATGTTATCAAGTTAAACCAAATTACTTCTATATTTGGATGGCGGTGCTTTGACAAGCCCTTTGGAGGAATGTAGGATGATCCATTTAGAGTGCGTTTGATTTTCAATTTGTCAAATGAGTTCATTTAGTGAAAGTCCATTTGATGAAAGTCAGTTTAATGAAAGTCAGTTGTTGTAACAAAATTTGTATTTGGATATATTTTTTCAAAAGTTAGTTTGATATATTAAAAGTTTTTTGGTTTGTGATAGTCAAATGTGCTTTTGAATGTAAAATTACCAACAAGGACATTGATTTATGATGATTTATAATTTTTATTATATAAATGTAATATATTTGAAATATTTAAAAAAAATGTGATAAAGACTTTAAATGACATAAATTTTGATCTATAATACTAAAAATTTAATCTCTAGTTATTTGTATATTTTTTAATTTGTAATTTTAGAAAATGTGACAAAGATTTGTAATTTTTATTATACATTAACCCTAAAAATTAATATGATTAATTATTCAATTTATAATGCTAAAAAATTGATACCTAATTATTATTATTCAAATAATAATTATATTTTTAATGAATTAATTATTTTTTAAATAAAAGAATAAGAGATTAAACTTGGAAAAGTGTGGTCAAATAGCATCTTACTTTTTAAATTCACTTTTCAAAAGCTTCAAATAGTTACGTTTCAGAAATTTACTTTTACCTTATTGTTTGAATATACTTTCAGGATGTACTTTCCTACAAAATATTTTACCTAAACAACTTTTAATTTTTTGAAAGTAAAATTTTGCTTTTTTAATGTGAAACGGAACAAAACCAAACGAGTTCTTAGATTGTCTAAAATTGCTATCCCAGTGTAGTAATGCAAATGTCTCATGCGAAGCCATGAAAGGCATGTGAGTGTATGGGACCATTTTTTAGAAAAAAATGACAACTAAGGATCCTTTAAGAACATTAATTTCAATTAAGGATTATAACATTTTAAAATTCCAACTAGTCCTTAATTGAGATAAAAAAAAAATATAGTTTGTAAGGTGGAATTCACTAACGCTACTTAAAAATTCACTAACCCAATTTAAGAAAATTATTAACTTATATTATGAAAACATAAAACCCCACTTGGGAATCAATTGTTTGACAAAAAGCACCACTTGAAAATTCACTGACCCGACTTGAAAAAATTTTTAATGTATATTGTGAGAACATGAAACTCTACTTGAAAATCAATTATTTAACAAAAAATGTCACTTGAAAATTTACTAACGAGACTAGAAAAAATTTCTAACATATATTGTAAAAAAATGAAACCCCATTTAGGAATCAATTTTTTAACAAAAAGTGACTTGTCCAAATTGAGATTTTTTTGTTAAACAATCAATTCCTAAGTGAGGTTTCATATTTTTACAATATACGTTAGAAATTTTTTAAGTCGGGTTAGTGAATTTTTAAATGGCTCTTTTTGTTAAACAATTAATTCCAAAGTGAGATTTTATGTTTTCATAATATACGTTAGTAATTTTCTCAAGTTGGATTAGTGAATTTTCAAGTAATATTAGTGACTCCCACTTTACAAATTATATTTTTTAATTTCAATTAAGAATCATGATTCTTTATTGTAATTTCAAAATATTATGATCTTTGATTAGGATTAATATTGTTAGAGGCTCCTTAATGGTCATTTTCTCCATTATTTATACGCAAGGTCCACGTAACAATCATGCTCGACTTTCTTCCAATAAATTGCTTCGTCCCCCACTCACCCCTCCCTCCCTCCATTGTGATTGGCCCAAATTAACGCGTTTTTTCCTCCTTTCATGGCTCTGCTTCCATTATTTTCACTCTTCCCCTATCGGTTGCCACTAGAGATTTTTCTTTCAATGTGTAAGAGGCCATTCTAATTCTTCTTCCATCTTCAAAACCTCCATTTTTTTGTAGCGTCGACCTGACGACCCTAGCCTTCTTTTTGAGATTATTTTCCTTGCTTTTACTCACCCTATGTATGGCTAATCACCGTCATCCTTGAATCTGACGGTTATCTTCTTTTATTTAAACTCCGCTCTTTTTGTGCAAAATCTGACTATTTCTTGAATACCTAGAAGCGAGGTTTCGCTTTGATGCCATTTAGTGCGACATTTCAATTAATGTCTGTACCATTCCCTTGGTTCTGTTTCTAATTTTTCCCAAGATATTATATTAGACGGTGACTTTGGTGAAGGAGATAGACAATGCCTTCAATTCGATTTGATGCCCTCAAGTCGTACTACACCACTACCAGTCTTGTGGTTGGGTATGCACTCTGTTCTAGCTTGCTTGCGATCATTAACAAGTATGCTATCACCGTGTTCAATTACCCTGGCCTTTTAACCGCATTACAGTACCTAACTTCATTTCTTGGAGTTTGGGTTTTAGGGAAACTGGGGTTTTTACGGCATGATCCTTTCACTGTGGAGATGGCCATGAAGTTCTTGCCTGCTGCTGGGGTTTTCTTTCTAGCAATATTTACCAATACCAATGTTCTTCGACATGCCAATGTAGACACTTTCATAGTTTTTAGGTCTTTAACTCCTCTTCTTGTCGCTGTAGCTGACACTACTTTCAGGAAGCAGCCATGTCCGTCAAAGCTCTCATTCTTGTCGCTGGTGATCATTCTTGGAGGAGCTGTTGGGTATGTAGCCACTGATTCTGCCTTTAGTGTGACCGCCTATTCATGGGCATTTGCTTATTTGGTGACAATTACTTCTGAGATGGTTTATCTCAAACATATGGTCATGAATCTTGGGCTGAACACATGGGGTTTTGTGCTGTACAATAATCTGCTGTCCCTTATGATGGCTCCTATATTTTGGTTTCTGACGGGAGAGAATTTTCAAATCTTTGCTGCTTTGAGATCAAAATCTGGAAATTTGTTTGACGTAACCGCATTTTCAGCCGTATCATTGTCCTGTGTATTCGGTTTGCTCATCAGTTTCTTTGGCTTTGCGGCTAGAAAAGCTGTTTCAGCAACAGCATTCACTGTAACTGGCGTGGTTAACAAGTTTCTTACTGTGGCCATTAATGTGATGATTTGGGATAAGCATGCTAGCCCGTTTGGTCTGGTTTGTCTGATTTTTACCATTGTAGGGGGAATTCTTTATCAACAATCAGTGACTGGATCTAGTACCGCTCCAACACAACGTGACACCCTGGTGTCTAAGCAACCGGATATTGAACATGTTGATGATGATAATCTCAATAATTCAGACGATGGGAGTAAAGGAAAAGGAAAATCTGATAAACATGCTTCTATTTGACAATTTACAATATTTGTAGCCCCATCGCATTTCTAAGAAATGCCTTCGCTGTCTTTTGTTTAGCAATAACAATGTATGAGATCCTTTGGGCAATATAAGCTATCATTTTCTGTGTGATATGAACTTGTCGCCTACTTTTCTTGATTAAACTTGGGTGCTATTTTATAGTGTGTTCACTTATTATTATTTGCTCTTTGATCTTTAAAACCCTGACATGACTAGAAGAAGAACTATTAGATCCAATGTTGTATCTCTTTTTTGAATTTTGTTTTTGCTTATGCCCCCTGGCATGGGGTTGTGATTTCGTAGGATTGTCATATCCTCACTGTTGACTGTCAGCATATTACTATTTCTTGCGCCCACTACCCATCGTAAAGTATCTCAAATTTGCTCAAAGTCATGTTAATTCCATGTTTCTGGTAGCTATCTGACAAGATATTTCATTTTTTAAGAATATATATATATATATATATATATCTGTCTGTGTGTATAGGTATATACATAGTTCTTCATTGAATTTACTGCAAACTTTTCAATTGTTGTGCTAATGTGGTTCGTGATTTGCTTTTATGTGATAATGCCACAAAAGCCATTGTTAGGCAACAGAGGATGTCCCCCGCTTTGGGGAAACAAAATCAATTTCTTTAGGGTCAACAAAAGATCTCCTGTCTCCTTGCTACTCAAATAAAACATCAGTGTAACCCTGATAGCTTTATACCTTGTATGACACTAGTCTGAAGCAGGGGAGTGGATTATCCAGAAAATGAACTCATTTTTAGGGTATTTACTGCAAAATTTGACAAGGCTATGCCATTGGGTTCTTAAGAGTGACAGTGTCTCATGGATTACACACACACATTATAATTTTTTGCTGTCTTTGGAATATCTGATTTATAATGCTGCTGACTTTACCATTTAAGTTACTGCCTGCATAAACAATGTTGTCTCCAAGGGTTCGGTCTGTGATGAGTTATTTAAGTTGGAAGTACCAGCTTCTTCTTACTCTTCTTTTTTGAAAGAAGTACCAGCTTCTTTTCCTCTGTTCTGCATGATAAAAACTTTCCATGGGTTCTTTGAATTCTGGTTCTTATTTATAGTTATTGAATAGATTCTCAGGGACTAGTTGTCTACTTTGAGTTGGGGTTCCTTATATCTGGCTCTTCTTAGGTTATATTTATAAAATTTGAGTTTAGAGTTCTCTATACTTGTTTATCATCAGAGAAAGGCGTTTACTGTTGAAATCTTCTGACAAGTTGATGCTGTAATCACTTAGAATGCAATTTCCCATAATTCTCTCGAATATTATTTCTCTAACTTTAACTTATTCAACTTATCAGACTAATTCCTCTTCATCTTGACTTCTCCAAAATGATGATCATCCAGCTTTTCGGAAGTCCATATAATTGTTCAGTCTTCTTCCTAATCTTCGCAAGCAGTATTAAAGAAACCCGTTCTTCGCAAGAGATTTTGAGAACTTTTCCTACAACAACTAGGACCTCGAATTATTTTTTCTTTGCTGTTATGTATGGTAACTGCTTCAAACACGTGGGTGTGGCATTGAGTTTTAGCCTTTCTATATATACTATACCGTATTGTTCCAACCAGTCTCTCTTATCTCCATTATCATTTCTTTTGGATCTTCTCTTTTGAGTTGAAGTTCTCATCTTTCTTGAATCTTACACTTGGGGTTGATGCATCTGTAGCAGATCTGGAACTTTCGGAGGAATCAGGGGAAACAAGAAGAGGATCTGAAAGTAGTGAAGCCTTGAAATCTTAAGACTCTGTCAATTGTTTTTGTATGGCCATCACTAGGATGAGCACAGTTGTGTAGAAGTAGAAGTTAAGCTGAGTTGTATGTATCACAGACAAGCAAATTAAAAAGAAACACTAATGGAGAGGTTTTTATCTGCAGAAAGCTTCCATTGTAAATCGTGTTGATCCAACCTTAAAGCAGAAGATTTAAAATTTTAGATATTTTTTTGCCGATTTGTCAAGTACGGGTACCCTTAGATCACTCAATGACGTTGAAAGTAATCATCTGTTGAATTGACGTTAATCTTTGCACCTCGTTTCTTAGGACAAACAACTGTTGAAATTACCTTCATTGGTTGGACCCATAATGCCATCAGACTTGAGAACGTGGTCCGGTTTTTGATCAGCCTGATGTCATCAACTCTATATTATATATGTGTGTGTGTGAGATTAAAAGTTATTTTTATCTTCGAACTCAGGAGCAGTTAAATGTTCTGATAGGCAAACTAACCCTTATCATTAAGGGAGGGAAACATCCATTAAATCAATGGACTGGGGCCCACAAAATGTGACAGTTGTCTAAGATGTTTTTGCTCCTTGCTTACATGGTATGCCACCTATTATCGTGTGCCACTTGGAATGCTATGTGGATCATTTTTGTGTCTTGTTGGCAGCACCTAATTTTTTGGGAAAATTACATCTATCTATATAAAGAAATTTATTATCAAAAGGTTGTATAAAATTTATAAAATACTTTTAAATTTCAAATTATATACATTTATAATTTGACTAAATGTATTGATAATTAGATAACAATCATTTACCATTTGTAAGGAAAAATGACAATTCATAATAAAGACAATGCTCATTGTGGGACCTAAATATAATTTATAACTTGTAATAGCAAGTTATCATTTTTGTTTTACAAATTGTAAATAATTATTGTTTAATTTTCAATACTTAGTCAAGTTGTAAATGTTAAAAAGTTGATATTTTAAAGTATTTTATAAATTTTATGAAATTTTTTAATAATAAATTCTCTTCTATAAAAGTTAAATGTAATTTTTTCAAAGTTTTTTTAAGGCGATGTTTCATGATGGATGGTTAACTGTTGCTGACATAGGGAGGAGTTTTGTGTTCAGGCATGGGCATTTTCATCTTTTCATGATAAAATTTTTAGTACTAATTCAAATTTATACCAAGTTTTTATAAACATGTCAAACATACTTTATAAACCCATTTTTACTCTTATCTCCGGTGTGATTCCATCTCTGTTTTCATCTTCCATGGTGCCAAATAGGGTCCTAGATTTTGTTGGAATTTAGACATGTTTTATCTTTGCATCTTTTAAAGGATAAAAATGTTCCCACAGTTTCTCACGAGAGGCCTGCTGCCTTCCTTTTACCTGCCTTTTCTTTTTTGGCTCGGAATTTTAAAAAAGGGGGCAAATTTGACTGTTAAACCAATAGGTTTGACCACGAATCTTACACGTGTCATGTTCTCTTCCACCTCATTCTTCTTTCTCTTCGTCTTCTGCAGAGCTATATCAGATCAGACCGCCTCATCACTCTCCACGAAGCTCTCCACCGCCATGTCAGTTTCTACTCCCAGTTCCGATCTTCTTCCGCTGGTCTCAGTGAAACCCAGCACCCAATATTTTCCATGGGTCAGGTTATTTGCCGGAGATTGGACTCCCCGAGACATCTCCGATCAAACTCATCTAGCTTCACTTATTGCCAGTCCCAGCTGTTTCAAGAAAAGTGTTAGATAAAGAACCATCAGAGTTAAAAACGGCCAAAAGTTGTGGTAGTTGTTAGGATTTTAGTCGCCACAAGGAGGCCGAAGTTGAAGCCGACGACGATAGTGTTAGCGATGGTGGGGATGACGACGACGACGGTGATGATAATAATGTACCACGTTGACAGGGCGAGTGGGCGAGTGTTGAATGGAAAGCCAGTGTAATCTGCTCTTTTGTGCCAGTTCAAAAATGTTCTAGAAGGCACCTCCATCTCCCTCTTGGAGGAAACAAACCTCGGAATATCAGAACGGCGAAGCCCCATGCCAAGTTTCTGGGGCAGGGCAAGTTTCACTCATTTGTGAAGGAGAAGCGACGATGATGAAGCTGAAGGTAAAAGGAGTAAAGAAGAAGAATAAGGATGATTTTGTGGGTTTCGGGAAGCGATCAAGGAGTAGGGAGTGGAAGGAAGCCTCTCAAGAGACATGCAGATAAATATTTTTAATTTTTAATTTTTAAATTAAAAATATATAAAAATTATAAATTTTTTTAATAAATATACTTATCAATTTAACAGTTCAAATTTAATATAGATAATTTAAATTTAATATTAAAAATTTAAATTAATTTTTTGATGTATTTTGGACAATGTATATATATTATAAATAGAGCAGCAAATTTATTAACAAAATTGTTAATATTAATTTAGATTATTCATATTAAATACAGATTGTTAAATTAAATCTGAACGGTCTAAATTTTTCCTATGCCTTAAGGAAGAGGTAGAGGAGGCTTTCCTTGGTGGTGGAAAGCCAACTCCAGAGGAGCAGGGGGTTTCTTGAAACTGCAAGCATGAGGCACATTTATCATTATCACCCTTAACTTTAGGCAAAGTACGATATGGCCCCATCCTTAATCTAGACCTTTAATGTTTTACTTTGATCAACAAACATACAAGTGTTGCCCTTGGATCATCATCATCATCTTTGCGGGCAATCCTATATCCTATCCTACTTGTTTTCAAGTTGGGATAAAACCCATCTTAATATCATTGGGATGAAAATGGGCCAATCAGATGGGTGCAAATTGAATACCTCTATATTAATTATATTAATATAATTTATCATTATATCTTCATATTTAATAACTTTTGTTTATATCATATTTCGTACTTTTATTTTTGAAAAAGTCACTAGTTTAACATATTTCAACTAAAGAAGAAGAACAATGACTTAATGTTGTACTAAACTTATCTGTTAAATCATATGTTTTGATGATTATAAAATTAAGAAAAAAGGTGTGTGTTACTTGTCCATATGTTATCAAGATGCATGGCTATGAAAAAACTTTCAAAAACTTAAAGAATCAAGAGAAGAAGAAGACTCATAGGTTTAGTTATTTATTTCTTTTAGATTCAATATGAAAACTATAAGAGTTTAATCACATGTCTTAATTTAAAACTGAATGCATCATTTTTAGGCTCATAAGTTCATCGATGTTAATTGTCATTTATTTAGAGTGCATTTGTATTTAAATAATCATTTGAAGTTTGATCTAGTATCAATCTTGCTTAACTTGGAGTATAGAAGTTGAGTATTGCATAGCATGACATTTCAAGCTTGAATTAGGATTGATTCACACTTGATTTGTCCTTGGACACATTACATAACCTTTCG